CCCCGGGGATACTGCCCATGCAAGCGCTTTGTAAATGGCACAGCTCCCTACACGAGAGCCTCACGATTACCCGCAGTGACCTGTGTACCCTGCATGCTCATTCCTGGGGCTCTCGGGTCCCACAGGAAAGGGACATTCTTCTGGGCCTCCTGTAAGACCCCTTGCTCCCGTTCTTGTTCAGTGTCTGCTTTGGCTTCTAAAAAAATGGCCAAGGTCACAGAGGGGGCTCGCACACCTCCGCTGTCCTGGGTTTCTTCTTTTGCACCTGTTCTACTTCTACATTTTATTTACATGTCTATTTTTAAATGTCCTGTTTTTAAAATGCTTAATTTTTACACCAATACAGTCGTTGAAAAAAAAAGGACAAAAGAGAAAAGTTATATAAACACGCCCGTGGGCTTGTCAAAGTGAGAGAACCCAGGGGACCCAACCCCAAGACTGGCTTACCCAGTTGTCCCTTCAGATACTGAACAGCCTTAGGGGTGGGTAGGGTTGCATAAGAAAAATAGGAAGAACACTTTGTTGATGGTCATAAATTTAGAGTATGCAATACTTCTTGGAATTCAATGTTAGTAATACTGAGTTGACGCAAGAGTCAGCAAATTTACTTAACTTGGCCGTAGTTTTAAAACAGATAGGCTTTTGTTTCAAAGTCGTATCTTTCCTCTAAAAGACATGAACCAGTTGTGTCAACAGGGATGCATACGATAAAGGAAAATTCTTTTAAGTTCTCAGTTCAGTTATTGGAACACTTTTTTTGGGTGGTAAAATAAATATAACAATATCTGTCATCTTAGCCATTTTAAAAGTAGACAGTACATTAAGTACATTCACAATGTTGTGCAGCCTTCACAACTACCTAGTTCAGAACTTTCTCTTTTCCCTAAAAGGATATCCCATAACTATTAGGCAGTCACTCCTGCCTCCCATCCTCCTGACCCAGCACCTGATACCCACTAATCTCCTCTCTGTCTCTATGGATTTTCCTACTTCTGGACACTTCATATAAGTGGAATTATAAAATATGTGGCCTTTTGTATTTGCTTCTTTCACTGAGCATCACGTTTTTGGGGTTCATGTTGTAGTATGGATTAGTACTTCATTCCTTTTTATGGCTGAATAATTTTCCTTTGTTTGAATATCCTACATTTTTATTCATTCATCAGCTGATGGCTGTTTGGGTGGTTCCTACTTTTTGTTATTCTAAATAGTGCTGCCATGAAATTTGTGTACAGATTTTGTTCGAATACCTGTTATCAACTCTTCTGGGTATATACCTAGGAGTGGGATGCTGGGTCATATGGTCATCCTATGTTCAACTTTTTGAGGAGTTGTTACACTGCTTTCCACAGGCTACACCATTTTATAATCCAACCAGCCATGTATGAGGGTTCCAATTTCTTCACATCCTCTCTGATACTTACTATTTTCTGTTTTGTTGATTTTAGCCACCCTAGTGGGTCTAAAGTGGTAACTCGTTGTGGTTTTGATTTGCATCTCCTGAATGACAAATGACTATGCATCTTTTCATGGGCTTGTTGGCCTTTTGCCTAACTTCTTTGGCGAAGTGTCTATTCAAGTCTTGTGTTCATTTTTAACTTGGGTTCTTTTTTTTTTAATGAGTTGTAAGAGTTCTTAACATATTCTGGATGCTAGACTCTCTCGTCAGGATTTGTAAAGATTTTCCCATTCAGGGAATCATCTTTTCACTCTCTTGATAGGATCCTTTGATGCACAGAAGTTCTTAATTTTGACAAGGTCCAGTTTAGACTTTTTTTTCCCTTTCTTGGCTTGTGATCTGGGTGTTATATCTAAGAAACCATTGCAAAGTCAAAAGTTATGAAGACTTACTCCTATGTTTTCTTCCAAGAGCTTTTATAGTTTTAGCTCTTATACTTAGGTTGGACCTATTTTGAGCTCATTTCTGTATGTGATACGAAGAGTTCAACTTCATTGCATCACATGTGGATATCAGTTGTCCTAACACCATTTGTTGAAGAGAGTACTCTTTCCTGCATTGAATTGTCTTGGCATTTTCCTTGGGGAAATCAGCTCACCTTATATAGTTTGTTTCTAGCTCTCACTTCTGTTCCATGAATCTGTATGTCTGTCCTATGTCAGTACCACACTGCTTGTGTTATTATAGCTTTGTAGTAAGTTTTGAAATCAAGAAGCATGAGTCTTTCAACTTGGTTCTTTTTCAAAATTGACTATTTGGGGGCCCTTGCAATTCTGTATGAATTTTAGGATAAGTTTTTCCGTTTCTGCCAAAAAGGCACCTGGGATGTTGATAGAGATCGCATTGAATCTGTAGGTCACTTGGGATTATTCCCATCTTGACAATATTAAGTCTTCCAATCCATGAACGCAGGATTTCTTTCCATGTATTTAAATCTCCTTTAATATATTTCAACAATTTTTCTCAGTGTGAAAAATAGAAGACAAGGAAATCTTTCTAACTCATGACCTGAGGCCAATATTATCCTGATAGCAGAGCCAGACAAAGACACCACAAGGAAAGAAACTATAGATCAATATCCCTCATGAGTAGAGTTGCAAAAATCCTCAACAAAATAGCAAATCAAATCCAATAGCATATCAAAGGGACTATCCACCATGACCAAATGAGATTTATCCTAACACTTCAAGGATGGTTCAACATACACAAATCAGTGTAATACACTCCAGTAAGAGACTGAAGGAAAAAGACACATGGGTTAATGTCCAAAAGCATCTGATAAAATCCAACACAACTGTCCTAATAAAAACACTCAACAACTAGGAATGGAATTGCTCAACCTGGGAAAGAGCACTTATGACAAGCCCACAGCTAACATCATACTCAATGGTGAAAGACTGAAAGCTTTTCCCTTAGGATCAGGGATAAGACAGGGGTGCCCGCTCTCACCACTGCTATTCAATAATGTACTAAAAATTCTAGCCAGAGCAAGTAGGCAAGAAAACGTAATAAAAGGCATCCGAGTCAGAGAAAGAAGTGAAAGTATCTGTATTCCTTCGGCAGGGGGTTTGTTAATAGCAAGTGTTCTCTTCTAACTTTCTGCTTTTGTACTTGGAAAAAACTTTAGGTTGACAGTCTCTCTGGGCACTATTTTTTTTTAAAGATTTATTTATTTATTTTAGAGAGAGAGGGCACGGTGGGGAGGTGCAGAGGGAGAGGGAGAGAGAGAATCTCAAGCGGACTCCACGCCCAGCGCAGAGCCCAATGCGGGGCTTGATCTCACAACCCTGTGATCATGACCAGAGCCGAAATCAAGAGTCAGATGCTTAACCGACTGAGGCAGCCAGGCGCCCCTCTCTGGGCACTTTTAAGACACTATTTTACTGTCTTCTGATTTCTGTCAGGATTGTAGTGAGATTGGATGTCAATCTAATTGTCTTTCTTGTGTAACCATCTTCTTTTCTCCCCGGTTGCTTTAAGAAGTTACCTTTGTGTTGGGTGTTCTGCAAGTTCATTGCCACAGATCTAAGGGTCACTTGTGCTTCTCAACTTTAAAAGGAAATAATTACATTGGGGCAAGTGGGTAGTAAAGAGAACTACACAGGCTTTCTGAACCCATGGCACAATTGGAAAGACTTGCTAAAATTATACTGACTCCTTGACTCAAGATTCGCCCTTCAGCCAGGTGAGCAGCCTCCTTGGAAATCAAGCCCAGATCTGCCGAGGTTGGTCTCAGTAGGAAGAGGGTCCCAGAAGCTGGTGTGGTCAGGAGAACGGGGTGTGCACTTTCCTCTCTGTTGGTCAGTTTTGTGCAGAGCTGGGGAATAGTGAGTACGTGTGCTCCCACACAGGGTGACTGCCCATTTCCGTCAGTCCAGGGGCAAGGACACCATGCATGGCACTTCCGGCAAGGACCTCAGCTGCTAGTGATTTTGGGGGGTTTCTAGGGGTAAAGATAGGGTCACACAACAGTCATGAAATATCACTCTTCTGATGTTACTTCCTGTCCTCAAGTTGGTTCTGGGAATGCAGGTGCTTTATGGGCTCAAGAACTAAGCCTCTCTGCTAGCACAGAGGCCTCCCCATAGGCTGTCCGCACTTTGGAGGCAGCCCTTCTGCTTCATTTCCGTCCCAGACACAGGCAGGTCGAGCTCAGAGCTCAAGTCTTTCTGCTGTCCTAGAACTGAACCGGTCACCCCCAAAGTGCCTCCGCCACCCAGTATTCTTCATTCTGGTAGTGGCGGGAATAACAATAGGCACCCATTAGCACCACCTGGGTATCCACAGAGCACCGAGTCCCTATGGGGTATTTCCTATTATGATACCCATTTGACAGATGAGAACACTGAGGCTCCTGAGCAGTCACATGGCCCTTCAGGGTTAGAACCAGTGTAGCTGTCCTTTCTCCTTGTACTTTACCACGGTAGAGTGAGGATCCCAGATTCACGTCCACTGGCCTTTCCTGGCCTCCCTCAGCCTCCCCAACCTCATCAGGCCCAGGCCATTCTTTTATCTTTTCTTCCTGCAACCAGAGGTACCCCTGATGCTTGTACACACCCCCACCCAGTTCAGCCACAGAACTGACTCTTGGGGGTGAAACCAGTCTCCTTTCTCTTCAGTGAAAAACTACTTTGACCTTTAAACCTGATGCCCATCATTGCCTGATGAGGCCAAATGGCTCTGGTCTGAGACCAAACAAGATGGTGACGCGTCAGGTGGGTCATTTGTTTGCTGGACATTTCTCTCCCTCCTGCGCAGTGGGTTGTTTTGTAACTTGCTCTCCTCAGCCTCTGACCGGTGGTCACCTCGAGACTGATTTTAGTGAAGCAAACTACAGACTTTGCAATAGTTGGTGGTTTCTGAAAAAAGCTTGTTTAGAACAGAGAGAATTTGGGGAAATCTCAAGGCCCAAACAAGTTTGGTCAGGTTAGAAAATGCAGCATGGCAAGTCGAGCCGCAAGCCCGAGAGGCCTGCGGGGAAAGGGTGACCCGCCTTTCTACACCCAGCTTTCTGTTCTCCTGTTGGACAGGTCTCCACAGTTCAACCCCAGACACAACCTTTAGATGCGCAACAGTCGTTAGCTCCTGTCAACTGAGCGTTCACAGTGTCCCTGGCTCTGTGTGGAGCACGTTACGTGCCTTTGTTATTTGGTTGTAGTGGGGTGAACGGTGGCTCCTGAAAGACGTGTCCATGTCCTAGTCTCTGGAACCTGTGACTATGACCGAATTTGGAAGAGGACTTTGCAGATGTAATTAAGCAAAGAATCTCAAGATCGTGCTGGATTATTCAGGTGGCCCCTGTGTCCGATGTCAAGAGTCCTTATAAAAGACACCCAGAGGAGAGATGTGAAGCAGCCCATGTGAAGAGACGGGCAGAGCCTGGAGTGATGCAGCCACAAGCCAAGGAGCCCCTACAGCCACCAGGGGCTGGAAGACTCAAGGAAGTCTTCTCTTTTAGAGCCTTCAAATGGAGCATGGCCCTGCTGACACCTTGATTTTGGATTTCTGGCCTCCAGAACGGTGAGAACATTTCTTGTTGTAAGCCACCCAGCTTGAGGCAATTTGTTATAGCAGCCCTGGGAAACTAATGAGCTCCTCGATGACCCTGGCACGTAGGGACTATTATCATTGCCCATTTCATAGATGAGGAAACTGAGGCACAGAGCTCAGGTAACTTGTCCGGGGTCCCAAAGGCAGGAAAGAGGCAGCACCAAGATGAAAAACCAGGCAGGATGACCGCAGGGACCAAGCTGCTAGCAGCTGTCGGCACTGCCTCCTGTTCTACTGGAATGTGCTAGAATGTGCCTGCGGTAAATCAGCATTCTACCCCCAATTGGCAGATGGAAAAAATGAGGCAAGCATGGAGGAATTATCGGGGGAACAAAACTTGTACGGCACACTCAAATTCCCAGGCAGCACCGGTGTTCATTATTTTGTTTCGTGGTCACAGCCCGCTGGAGAAGCAGCTGTATGAGGCCCATCCTCCAGATGCAAACACTGAAATGGTAGCTCTTGGAGGGGAGGGACTGTTCGCTCTTGCTACCCCGAGTTAGCCCCCAACCTGGCTGAGAGTAGCTCTGGGAGGTGGGCTGGGACCCAAGCCTCGGTTTTCTAAGTCCAAGTGCTGTGTTTCTGTCCTGCAGAACCAAAACGAAGCTCTGGTGTGCAGATCATAAAAGAGAAGGGGCGGAAGGCAGGAGACACGGTGAGCATTGGAGAAGGGGGCAGCTTCGGGACGATGGGGCTGTGCTTTGAAGGCCGGAAGCGCTCAGACAGGTGGAGATGGGGCAGAAGAGATGAACCAGCGCCAGGTGTGGTGTAGCAAGGGCCTGGGGGACAGAAAGGAGGCCCGGAGCCAGGCTGGGGAAGGAGACCCAGCTCTGCTCCACCGCCTCCCTTCTCCCAAAGCCAGCCTCCCCCCCACCGCATTAACAACCTTGCCGACCTGAGCCATCAAAGACATGCCCTGCCTTCTTCATCCATCAAAGGTCAGATGGGAACTCTGCAACGTAGAGCTCTTACTGGGGTGGGCTCATCCTAGTGTGCACAGTTTTATACATTTGCCGGCCGTCTGACTTTCTAGGCTTCAAGGTCGCCAGTGTTCACCGGCATGAGGCAGCCTTCCTCTGGTTCTCAGGAGTCTGTTCTTTTTGGTCGGAGAACTCTGTGTTCTTGTGAGCACTGTTTTTGAAAGGGGACAATTGCTGACGTGTTTTGGGAATCCCTTCCTGGACTTTAATAATCTCTTTCTAGAAAAGCTCTTCCTTTCTATTGTTTAACTTCTGCCTTCCTCCCTGCCTCCCTGTGCAGAGCTGACAGTGAAGGGATGCTTTCCTGAGTTGCAGGGGGAGGAGAAGACGGTGGGAACTGCTCCGCCAGGAGACAAGATCTCAGGGGTTCTAGTCTTCGTTCCGTCTCTGTTTGGGATAGTCAGGATGAGGCTGGGTGCTGGAGTCAGACAGACCCTGGTTCAAATCCCAGCAAGGCTCCTTCTGGGCTGTGGGGTCTTGGCCAAGTGGCTTAACCCCTCTGAGGCTACAAAATGGGAATAATAATAGTACTCAAGCCATAGACCTGTGGTGGCGATGCAGTGAGACAGTGGACCCGACACAGTGTTTGGCACCTAGTGAATGTTCAGTACAAGGTCATTACAATATTGCTGGCTGGATCCTTACCTCTCCTTCCTTCTCCAGTTTCACCCAGCCACACTGCTGGGCCAGCACCAGTCCAACCCTCTTCCCCTTGTGGGTCCTTATTCCCGGAATTCTTGTCCCTTGGATCCTTCAAAGCCTGGCTGCTTTTCATCTTGGGGGTGGGGTGGGGAGGCGCTGTGTCTCTCTCTGTCAATGTTACTTCTACACAGTGCTTGCTCCCGACCCCCTGTCTGTACACCCCTTCCCCACAGTCGCTGGTAATGTAGTTGGTTCCATCACTTCTCACGGTCCCTGTGCCGCACTGGACTGCAAGCTCCGTGCAGGCAGGGACCATGCCTTTCTGCCCTTGATGCCTCTCCACTGCCCAGGCCCGTGGCCGAGGAGTAACAGCTGTGCCAGTGAATATTCAATTATTTGTTGGCTTAACGATGACCGATGTCTGATCCTAGTGAAGGAACCAGACCCCTATGAGATTGCTTTTTTTTCCATTAGAGAAACGAGGATGTTGGAATAAGAGACTGAAACATATTCTTCCCCAGTTTCCCCTTGGAACCAGGGAGAAAAGGCAGTGAGCCGCTTCAGAAACATGGCCTCCTGCTGCCCTCTAGTGGTCAGGATTGTGAATGTCACCTCATCACTTCCCCTGGTCTGTTTTCCAGTTCCACCCAGAACTGGTAAAAAGCAGCCCACTCTAGCAGAATAAAACTTCAGAAAGGAAAAGAAGTATCCTTGAGTGCTCTGCTAGTCTGTTCTTGCGTGTATCCAACGGCCAAAGAAAAGGGGCCACGTCTTCTTCATCAGGGGACATGCGGTGCTCAGCCCTGGAGCGTGAGAGGAGGTGAGACATGACAGGGAGGGCGGGGTGTGGCACTGGGGCTCCCATCTCCTCTTGGGTGAACCCCAGCATGGTTTGTCCCTCTCAGGCTTAATAACTTCACCTTGCACTTGTAGGATTAAATAATGTAAAGTGCTTGGCTTGTGGTAGGTGCTCAGTAAGAGCTGGTGCCCTCTTGGGCCTTGCTCTATTTTGTGTGAATGAAGTGCACTCACATACGTAAAGGAAAATGTCACGTCCTAGCAGAAAGAGAACCGTAAGTGGTGTGCAGATGCATAGGAAGCAATGCCGTATCCTGGGGACAATCCAGGACTTGTCCCAAAGCTTCAGGATCTAGATTCATTAGCCTTGACACACACTAGCTGTGTCTCACCACTCTGGACCTCAGCTTTGTCATCTGTGAAAAGGAAAGTTGGGTAATAGAATCATCTAGAAGGCACTCAGCTTCCAGTAGCTGAAAACCTACTGAAAATGACTTAGCCCAGGGACTAAACCTGGCTTCCCACCCAGTGTTTGTGCAGCCCGTGACCTAAGAATATCTCTACAGTTTAAACAGTTGAAAAAAATCCAAAAAAGAAGTATTTCGTGGCCTTTGAAAACGATGTGAAATTCATATTTCAGTTTAATCAAGTTCTATCGAAACCCAGCCATACTCCCTCGTTTACGTATTGCTTATATCTGCTTTCATACTACAATGGCAAGTTCGAGTAGTTGGCTTGAAAAGCTGAAAATATTTACTATCTGGCCATTTATAGAAAAAAAAAATGTCCCACTCCTGGGACGCCTGGGTGGCTCAGTCGGTTAAGCGACTGCTTGCCGCTCAGGCCCTGATCCCAGGGTCCTGGGATCGAGTCCCACAACAGGCTCCTTGCTCAGCGGGGGGTCTGCTTCTCCCTCTGCCTACCGCTCCCCCTGCTTGTGCTCTCTCTCTCTCTGACAAGTAAATAAAGAAAAAATCTTTTTAAAAAAATGTCCACTCAGGGTGCCTGGGTGGCTCAGTCGTTAAGCATCTACCTTCAGCTCAAGTCATGGTCCCAGGGTCCTGGGATCGAGCCCCACATCGGGCTCCCTGCTCCGGGGGAAGCCTGCTTCTCCCTCTCCCACTCCCCCTGCTTGTGTTCCCTCTCTCGCTGTGTCTCTCTCTGTCAAATAAATAAATAAAATCTTTAAAAAAAAAATGTCCCACTCCTGTTGTAACCAATAAAGGTATTTAATTATCTCACATAAGGAACTCAAACTGACAGGGCTCCGGGTCTACATCCCTGCAGTTGTCTTGGCCTTTCCTCCTGGTCACCAGGTAGCAGCTTCGGGTCCATGAGTTACACTTTACATTCAATACCTACCCAATACCGAAAGGCATGGGGAGAAAAGGCTTTCTCCCGCTCTGGCGCCTTCAACCAGGAAAACATACACATTCCCTAGAGGCCCGACAGGAGGCTTCCCTGGTCCCATTGGCCAGGGCTCAGTCACATGGCAGGCTCTGGACCAATCACTGGGAAGGATCAAACTGCCTCAGCCCAACGGGGCTGCAAAGGACTCACCTGTCCTGAGAAGTGGGGACCAGGGCCATTTACACAAACAAAGCCAGCGTTCTGGTCGCGGGGGGAAAAAAGGGGGCAAAAGGGCATTGTGCCTGCCCAAATCACGAAGACACCTTGCGCTGCTAGCCTCCCTGGTAGATGCACGATCCTTTCTAGAACTTACATGTGAACGCTCTTTGTTGAGTTGAATCCACTCTTGTTTGATCTTTCCTTCCTTTAAGTTTTGCTTGGTTTGAGGCATGGCCATGAATGAGGGTTCTCAACGAAAGCCCTCACTTGAGGCCCCACCTCTGCCTCCTGGTATGAGAAAGCCGAGGAGTAAGCAGGAGGCGGGAGGATTTCCCAGGGCACTGTCACCGCCGAGCCTGCCCTTGGCCGAATCCGAAACAGATGAAGCGTTCACCAGGATGGTTGGACTGACGTCCCGCCTGGCCTCTGAGAGGAGGGGCAAACTCTTGAACTGTTTTTATAGAAATGCACCCTCAATGCCCCTACAGTTCTCTAGGGCTGGTAGAAAAGGAAGCAAAGCTTCAAGTATCAAAGGGGAACCATGGGAAGGCGAATCAAGAAGCAATTTCACAAGGATTTCAATCTGAAATCATAGCCTCCTTGTTGTTAGAAAGATAAGGAGTCGCAGTTACAGACACAAAGGAGCACATCAAAGAAATGGAAGGGAAGCCAAAAGAACTCACAGGGCAAATAAAAATTGGGTCAGATGTTTCAAGAGAGGAGCAAAGTCCTAAGACACATCCTCTATCCGGGAGGCAGATGGTGGCTGAGAGAGAAAATTCAGGAAAGATGGTGAGCTACAATGGTCCTGAGAAGGAAGAACGTCCTTGAACTCTGACCTCTTCTTGATTTGGGGGTGCTTTTTAAACATTCAGTCCCCTGGGGACTCTTATGTGCTAAGGGAAAACAACAAAATAATTCAAGGTTCCCTCAAACAGGACAAGTGGGGCTCCTTCCTAACCATCAGGACTCAAAGAGAATCAAAAGACACAATTCCTCTGCACCTCAGTTCCTTCATCTGGAAAATGGAAATGTTAATGCACACGTGGCTGACTCGGCACCAATCCGATTCCTTTCCGGACTGCCTTCTGTCCTGCGGCAGCTGGAAAGCTGGGAACCCAGTTCCTCAGACTCCTTTGCAGCTGGGATGTAGGCCCGTGGCCTGTTGCCCACCAATCCATGTGTTCGCATGGGACTCAGATGTAGAAATGAGTAGGGGAAGAAGGCGGCCGCAGGCTGGGAAAGGGGACTTTCTGAAAAGCACAGAGGCAGAGGTGTGGGGTCTTCCCAGAAAAGGGAGGAATTTTGCACATTCGGGCTCAAACACCAAGGGTGGTAATTGGCAGATGTCAGCAGCAGAGGGCTTTCTGTGAAAACGGTGAGTTGGAGCGTTTGGGGGCTCTGTTGACCCAAGGGGTGTCCAGTATTGTTCCGGGTCTGAGTAGCATTCGAGCTTGGCTCTTTGGTCATCTCAGAAGGTCTCTAAGGTACCTAATAAGTAAACTTGAATAGATGCCTTTCGGTGTGAATTTGCTAATGTGGATTCTGTTGCCTCAACTAACGACCTGGGCCTAAATCACAAGCAAAATGTTAGATCAGTGCCTGGCACCTGGCAAATTCTTACCACATGTTAGCTAACATCCTGTATTATTTGAATATTCTATGGAGAGAATGATGTGTCTGCTCTTGTTCAGCAGCACACGTTTTACTTTTATTTTTTTAAAAGATTCTTATTTGTTTATTTGACAGAGAGAGAGAGAGAGAGCACAAGCAGGGGGAGCGGCAGGTAGAGGGAGAGGGAGAAGCAGGCTCCCCGCTGAGCAGGGAGCCCGACATGGGGCTCGATCCCAGGACCTTGAGATCATGACCCTAACCGAAATCATACACTTAATCGACTGAGCCACCCAGGCGGCCCATGAATCCTCATTTTATAGATGGGGAAACCAAGG